AGAAGCAACATTTGTTGTTGGAAAATATCAGTTAAGTTGATGAGGTTTTCCTTGCCCATGGAAATGAAGCAGTTCCCAATAATGGGTGCTCTGTAATGGGAAAGAAGGGCAGAACTGCCAGGTCACTCGGCCCACCTATGGGCTGAGCCGCAGGAGACGCTGGGCGGTCTGATTCCAGAGCCCTTAATTTTTCTATCCCTTTCGGTCATTTCCTCCCTTTCCCGGAGCCCATCTTCCTTTCCAAAATCAGCCCGTCTCACTATTGGCGCAAAAGCTAAGGGGGCTCCTCAATGGTCCTCTCTTCCTGCGCTTACGGGGCCTGTTCTTAGCAGTTCAGTTTTCCCCAAGTGTTGTTCTAATTGTTATGCCATTACTATGACTTGCTTAAGAAATGGACATGAGATGCAATTTACCCGCCTTTCCCTGCCATCCCTAATTATGAATGAAATGTGATAGGAAGGGTCCAGGCCTTGGAGGAGGGCTGACAGGGGTAGACTTTTGGCTGTTCCCTGCTAGCTGTGTCACCTTGGGTGAGTAGTTCAACCCCTCTGAGCCTGGTTCCTCATATGAAAAGCGTGAATAGACGCACCTCCCTTCCCGGGCTGCGGTAAGGAGGGGCAGTGATGTCTATAGAGCACAGAGCACAGTGAGTGCCTGGCCCTTGGCCACGCTGCTGAATGCCTACCGTGCTAGCCAGTCATCGCGGTAGACCCGTGCGTTATTATTGTTCAGTTTCTAGGTTGTGTCCGACTCTCTTTGACCCCATGGACTGTAGCACATCAGGCTCCTCTGTCCATGGGGATTTTTCAGGCAAGAATACTGGAGTGGGTTGCCATTTCCTTCTCCAGGAGATCTTCCTGGATCAGAGATTGAACCCCTGTCTCCTGCATTGTCAGGCAGATTCTTTACCACTGAGCTACCAGGGAAGCCAGACCCATAGGCAGTGACCTGGAAACGTGCCCAGCTTTGATAAGCTTTTGGAGGGTGGTTGTAGAACTGAATAGGGGTTACAGAAGCCTGTCGCTTTCTACTTTCTGCACTTTTTCTTCCTTAAATTCACTAGGTCCATATTTCTTTTGTGTGTGTGTCGAGGGATTTTTTAATATTACATAAGTAATGCATGAATAGATTCTCATCAGAAATTCAGACAACAGCGTGAATTACTTTTATCATCAGGAAGAAACACAAATAACATTTGGAAAAACTTCATCTCATCAACTCCACTTTCCACCCTTCCCATGTCATGTCTTTGCTGCTCTCTCCATGTGCCAGCGATGCTCCCCACTCAAGCCCTGCCTCTCACCCCTCTCCAGCTCCCGCTGGGCCATATACCTCCCTCCACCTACCCGTGGGGTGCCTCCCCGGAGATGTTTCTTCCTGGGGAAACTGTGTGTCCTCTTACATCCAGCATGCCAGGACTCACAGACCTGGAGGAAGGAGAGGATGCCCTCCTCCCAGGGACTCCTCACCCATCCTGGCCCCTCACCTGCCGCTTCCTGCAGCAGGTAGGGTTCTGCTCACGCTTAGTTCCCGTGACTGGACCCGCAGTCAATCTTGTGGGAAACAGTGGGTTCGTCACCAGAGCTGGCTCTCATTCCTCTGCCTGGCTCATGTTTCTTTCCCCCACTTCTCCCACTGCTGGACTCAACTGGAGGTGGGTGGGCCTTAAAGCTCCAAAGCATTTAAAGGGGAGCAGAATGGGCCCAGCAGCTCAAAGCCACTAAGCTCCATCTCAGACACATGCCTGCGTTACTAGGTCTTCATGGGCTGACCTGCGCACCTGGCTGCCTGAGACAGGAGAACCTTGCACATGAGCCGCAGGCAGAGAACACAGGTGCCAGGAATGTGTTCCTGGCCCGTGTCCACACCTGTAACACGCCGGGCAGCACTCTGGCTTTGTGCAGATCCTAGGCCTCGGGTTTATGTATTGATTTTATGTGGGAGGAGGGATTTGGCTTTTCCCCCAGTCCTCTGCTCCCCTGCCACCCATCTGGCACTTGAAGCTGTTGAGCAGCTGCCGGACCAGAGCTGACAGCGGCAAGGGCAGCAGAAGAGTGATGACTGATGTCTTCCTGCTTCATCTCATCTCATCATTGTCACCTATTGAATTTGCAGATTCTACCTCCATTTTTTCACCTGGGGAAACTGAGGCTCAGAGCAGCTAGGTAATCTTCCCAGATGGTTCCTCAGCTCTCAGGGGCCACTCTCAGAGCCTTGTCGCCCCAAGGGGCCTCCTTTCCCCAGGTGCGGACTTCCTGCCTGCCTGGCGGCTCCATCATCCTGCCCACTCTTAGGGACTCAGCTCTGGCCCCTGACCCTCCCCTGTCCCACAGGGACACCAGACTGGAGCGCTCTGGCAAAGAAAGGGGTGTCTGCCCAGTGCTGGGGTTCCCACAGACACGCCCTCCTCATTCTCCCACCAACTCACGGGGGACACATCTAAAGTCGCCAAAATGGCAGGGCTGGCTCTCCAGGAACGCTAGTGGCAAAACTGAGCGGTTCTGTTAACAGCTGACTGGCAACAAGGAACCTTCATCCTGTCCTGCACCTGGCACACCCCGGGTACTTAATAATAATTAAAGTCATAATGAACGTCAGAAAGGCCAGCATGTGGTAAATGTATGCATCTTTGCACAATTGTTATACAGCGTAATGAGCAAGCCATTAATGGTTAATCAGGAATAAAAATGAATGTGAGAAACATCTGATTGCAGAGATTTTTTTTACTCCTTCCTTCCCTCCCCAGATTTTTAAATGAAAGTTTAGGGATCATTTCCCTTCAATTGTCCTTGTAGTAGCATTTATCATGAAAAGAACTGGGATGAAAATCTTTATGCACTTCTCCAATGTAGATCTGGGCAGAAATTTGGAGTGTTCCTCACTGGTCAGGGATGATAACAGAGCAGGCCGGGGGAAGTTTTTTGGAATGGGCAGTCAACATCCCTTGCAGAAAATTTCTTTTCCTGGGACCCAGATCCCATGATCTGGCAGCCATCTTGAGGACGTGTCCTATAAGATCACAGGGGGTCAGAGCACCTCACAGCCCATACAGGCTGCAGCCCCTCTTTGCCTTAACCACCCCATCAGGGACTTCCCTGCTGGTCCAGCAGCTAAGTCTCTCTGCTCCCAATTCAGGGGGCCTGGGTTTGATCCTTGGTTGGGGAACTGGAGCCGACACGCTGCAACTAAAAGATCCTGCATTCCACAATTAAGACTCAGCACAGATAAATAAATAAAAATAAATTTTTAAAAAAACACAAAATTTTCATAAAAAAATAAGACAAACAAACAAAATAACCCCACTGGGACAGCTTGTCCTGGAGGAAATTTGGTGCCTGGCCTGGGTTCACCAGGTTTGCAGGGAAAGCTGAGGGGTTCACAGATTGCTTAGTTAAATGAGTAGCAACAAATCACTTGTTACCCCAAGGGACAAGGAGTAAAGAGACCGGGCAAGAATCTTGTCACCAAATGTCAATGTTGGGGGGAGGGGCTGGGGAGACACCAGTCAATGATGGTGTCTTGTGGGCATGTGGACCACTCCTGGCCAGGTCATTCCAACTTTTCAAGATACATCAGAAATTGTCCTTCCATTAAATGTTTTCAAGTGTGACTTACTAGATCCACTTAACTCTGCGATATACTGGAGTGGGGTGCCATTGCCTTCTCTGGGGCAGGTCTGTGACTCTCATCCAAAGGCCTTGTGTTTTGCTCCTTGAGGATTCCTTTCATCTGATGCCTGTTGGTCACCATCTTTTAACTTTCAGGGTTAAGTGATATTGTGTCAAAATTCCCAAAGTGTCCAGACAAATTATACCTTAAAATCTGAGAAGGTCCAACATGTCTGTTTGGATGCCTGCTATGTGCAAGGCATAAGGCTACTTGGGAATCACTCAGTCTTGATCCTTGAGAGGTTCATAGTGTACACACACATATACACACACACATTGTGGTTTTATAAGTCTGTTCAATATGTAAATAAAGGTGTTATGTTATTTTGCTGAGGCACCTTGATATACAGATTCTCTTAAAAGAGAATACTCCTAGAACTGGTGTTACCTGAAGCCTTCCTCCACCACTATTTGTTATCTATCATGACTCAGATTTTTCACTAACGGAATCAGAATATGGTCCAAAGATGGGGCCGACGTTGGGACTGGATCTCCACCAGAATGTCAGGCCAGGCTAGGGCAGATTCCCCCGCACCCAGCAAGATACAGCAGCCCCTTCATGCCTGGTTTAACTTAGAAATCCCACAGAGCTTACTCCTGATTTAAGAGCACGAGACATGCCCAGTGAAGGACAGCCTGAGTATGGTCTGGCTGTCCCAGGTTTACTCGTGGGCACTTGGGCAAATGCCCAGAGCCAGCCAGCCTCCGTTTCAAGGCTCTGTGTGATTCTGAGATGGTCCCATAAAAGGTAACCACAGTCTTTCTTATGAGAGCCTTCCTCACTCGGCAGCCCATGATGTGATTGCAGCTGTCATTGACTCAGCCAGTTTCATGTTGCATGAAACCTTGATCTCTGCACACACTGCGGGGCCAGGTGGCCTGGATTCAAATCCCAGCTCTGCGGTGTCCTAATGGTATCAACTCAGCCAGGCTGTTCAGCCTCTCTGCCTGAGTTTCCTCTCCTAGAAAATCAGAATAATGATAATACCTACTTCATAGGATTTGAAAGAGAATAAAATGAATTAAGGTTTGTAAAGTGCATAGAATAAGCCTTGCAGGTAACAAGTACTAGCTAAGAATTTAGATTTAAGAGATCTTTGGGACTTCCCTGGTGGTCCAGTTAAGAATCAGCCTTCCAATGCAGGAGATGACAGTTCGATCCTTGATCAGGGAACTAAGATCCCACATACCCTGAGGCAGCTAAGCTCAAGTGCCACAACAAGAGAAGTCCGGAAGCCTTAACGAAGACCCAGTGCAGCCAAAAAAAAAAAAAGACTTGGCTTTAAAAACAGCTTAAGAAAATAAATAAATAAAAGATCCTTAAGTACCTCCTCTGTGGATTCACAAGTCCTTTATTTTGCATTTCACATCCAAGTCTGTTCTCCCATGGGATCCAGCCCAAGATCTGCTTCACAACTGTGGAACAGGCCAGGCAGGTGTGCACAAAGAGAAGAGAAAGCAGCCCATGACCAGATGGTGAAACCAGGGTATAGCGTTTTTACCACCCAACAGGGGCTTGAAGTGTGGAGTCTCCAAAACCAAAACCCACCTCAAATGCAGGTGTGGAGCTTGTGAGTGCAATTCGCCTGTTCTCCAAAGGCTGCTTTGCTCCCTGCATCACCATTATCAGGTTCTGGGGAGTGGCGGGGTGTCTATTGGAGCGCAGTGTGCTAGATCCCAGCCCCCCTCCACACCACTCCTCTTTGCCTGGTCTTCCATCACTTCCTCTTTGCAGGTAAATAAACAAGGCCCTGAAACTGTGCAAAGTAGGATAAGAAAGGCCCCAGAACCCCATGACTTCACAGACCTGGCTTTTCTCCCAGAGTGACTGTGATGTCACACCTGCCCCCCCTGACCACACAAACCTTGAGGGGCATAGCCAGTCAGTTCCATCACACACGTGCCTGTGTGCCTGCCTGTGCCTGCAGCCACCCTGCAGGCCTTGCCCAGGCAATCTCGGCTGATACGGATTGTTCCTGCCCATTTAGACAACCAGGAGTCGCTTATGGAAAACCGTCCCAGTGGAGGGATAGCTCTTCGGCTGCAAACCACTGGGCTGGGAAACTGCCTTTCCCTTCTGTAGCTGAGGCCCATTTTGTCAACCAGCTCCCAGAAGAGAAGGAGGTGCGAAAGACTCCACTGTTACCTTAGGTAATGTCGCTGCCCTTTAATACACCCCTGACTCTTCATCCTGCATCTTCTTAGCTGCATGATTTGGGAGCTGAGATTGGAGCTTGTCTGGTGGGGGAGGGAGGACCACAGATGATCAGCCTAAGCAGAGATCGGACTGTCCTAAGAAAACATGCTGTATTGCTTGCCTGTTGGGTGGGTTTCTTTTTGACTCTTGTGTGCCCCACTGGTGCGGTTCACCCCGGAAACCCTCATTATTTCTTTTGTCTCTTGTGCTGGACATGTGATGAGAATGCAGAAATACATGTTTGTGGATTTGTTTATTCATGGAGCAACAGTGTCTCGACTGTCTGCAGTGGGCCAGGCGCAATGGGAAGCCTGGGGAAATGGGTTTCTCCACCCCACTCCTGGTTTCCTCTGTGAAAGGTGATTTGTGATGCGTTCTCCTCTTGGGGGCCACCCTTCTCCCAGCTGTGCCTGGGCCTCTCCCCAACTCAACAATAGCATTTACTCAAGCCTGGCTAGTGAGAGTGAAGGTTTGGACCAGTTTCCAAGAAGCCATTTGGCAGGATGTAAAGAGAGGCTATAAAATGTTGCTGTCCTTTGACCCAGAATTTTGCTTCTAGGAATCTGTCTTAAGGAAATGAGAAACATGAAAAGAATGAAAACACTAAAATGTTCATCAAGTGTGTTAATTGCTCTGTCGTGTCTGACTCTTTGCGACCCCATGGACTGAAGCCCACCAGGCTCCTCTGTCCATGGAATTCTCCAGGCTAGAATACTGGAGAGGTTGGCATTCCCTTCTCCAATGTTCATCAAAGGGTTGTTGATAGTAGGAAATCTCAGAAACAGGCTACACGTCCAATCTCTGGGAAACAGTTACGTAGAATAGTAGGTAACCATTAGAAAGTGATGTCTATGGAATTTTAAATTATCGAGAGAATACATCTGACAAAAGAGTAGGGTATAAATTGCATATTCAAAATAATCTTGACTATTTTTGAAAATGCATGGGGAAAACCTGAAAGAAAATATGTGAATATATTGATAGTGATGTTTCTGGTGGTAAGATTATAGGTAAGTACTTTATACTTTGCTATACTTGATTACACGTACATGTTGCTTTTTTCTTTTCTTTGGCTAAGCCACGTGGCTTGTGGGATCCTAGTTTTCTGACCAGGGATCAAACCTTGGCCCTTGGCAGTGAGAGCACAGTCCTAAACACTGGTCCACCAGGAAAGTCCCCATATGTTGATTTTACAGTAAGAAAAATATTGTTTAAAATTAAGTTTTGTGGAACTTTTCTGGCAATCAAGTGGCTAATACTCCATGCTCCCAATGTAGGGGGCCAAGATTGGATCCCTAGTCAGGGATCTAGATCCCACACGCCACAAAGAAGATCAAAGATCCTGCTTGCTGCCGCTAAGACCCAGCTCAGCCCGAATAAAGAAAATATCAAAATAAATAAAATTAAGTTTTGTGTGTAGTTATACATGGATAGGCAGAGAGTGACAGAGAGAAAGCAAATGTTGCAAATACTAACGGTTGGTGAGTCTAGGAAAAGAGTATAGAGGTGCTGATCGTATCATTTGTACAATTTTTCTGTAAGTTTGAAATTTTTCAAAGTAAAAGATTGAGGGAGGGGAGAGTACAGGCCACCTTTGAACTCTCTTTTGGAATACTGGAAATATAACCAATGCGATTTGACAGTTTCATTTGTTTTCTGTTGTGGGAAAATGATCTTTGAATGTTGGGGCGGAGGATACTGGGTTTTGGTAGTTTTAGGAAGGACCCCAGGGGTCAAGGCCTGTTGCAGGGCTGACCCGTGCCGGTGGCCCAAGCATCTCACGTGCTAGTTCAGCACCGTTGTGTTCCTGGCCAGAGTTCGCTCGGTGTACCTCTCCTGCAGGCAGCTCGTGGGTGACTTTGCTAAGGCCAGGCCCTCCCCAGCCCCATGCCTTGGATTCCATTCATCCACTTCACCATCATTCAGGAAGCTTGCTTAGCTTTTATTTCCCCCCTCTCCTGTTCCTAGCCTCTCCTCCTCTCCTGACTCCTTCCTGTTGGCATTTAGGAGGTTTAAGTGAGTCCCTTCTTTAAAGCAAAACAAATGCCCCCCTCAGTCCATCACTCTATTTCTGTCCTCCTCTTCCCAGAGAGACTTTTTTTAAAGCATCATTGGCACTTTTCCATTTTCTCCCCACATATCTGCTCTCCTTAGCTGAATCCAAGCTGGACTCCACCCACTGTCTTTCAGCGAAAATCCTTGTATTAGTCAATGAGGCCAGGTTTATTCTGCAGGAGCAAAAAAGTCCCAAATTCAGTGGCTCCATCCCTCTGGCACCACCCCTTCCCTCATCTTCCAGCCTTATGGGTCATCTTTTAGTTCCTTGAAAACTCTCTGCAGTTTCCTGCCTCAGGGCCTTTGCATGCACTGTCCCCTCTGCATGGAATGTTCCTTCCTACCATCTCCCTTCACCTTGCTCACTTGTACTTGTCCCTCATGTCTCAGTATAAGCATCATTTTTTCAGGGACATTTTCTTCAACCCCCACCCCCAAGACTAACAAGTGCCAGTCTTAGACTCAAATGACCTGCCATCTTTTTCTTGTGACACTTGGATTGTCGACTGTCTCCTTCCTGCAGTGCCTTCACAAAAGTGAGGTCATGTCTGTGTCACTGCTATGGTCCCAAGACGCTGCACTCAGATTGCCCACCTTAATTACACATTAGAATCACCTGAGGAGCTTTTGCTTATTTATTTGTCTCTGCTGGGTCTTAGTGGCAGCATGCAGGATCTTTCATCTTCATTGCAGCATACAGGACCTCTAGCTGTGGCATTAGTTGTAGCATGCGGGCTCTAGTTCCTTGACTGGGGATCGAATCTGGGTCCCCTGCATTGGGAGTTTGGGGTCTTAGCCACTCGACTACCAAGAAAGTCCCAAGAATCACATGAGGAGCTTTTGAAACTCATCATGGCCAGGCCCTACCCCAGGCCATATGAATTCTAATTTGAAGTGGGCCCAGCCAGCAATACATATGTTTATACAGCACCATGGGGAATTTTAATGCACAAGCTTGAACCACCGACCTGCATTGTGCTTAACACTCAGCTTTTCTTGAATGAATAAACCACCAGGGAAGCCCAAGAATACCGAAGTGGGTAGCGTATCCCTTCTCCAGGGGATCTTCCTGACCCAGGAATAGAACCGGGGTCCTAGCCTTCCTCAGGTGGTAGTAAAAATGGCCATCGGTACCTCTGGTCTTGTGTTCTGTTTAGTAGGGATTTATAGAAACATCTCAATTAATGTTCTACCAGAAAACAAAAACAAAACCTTATTAGTTTTAAATCACAGCTTAGACCTTCCTTCTTTCCTTATTATTCTCTCCCATCTGCAATCCAGTCTCCCAACCCTAGGTATAGAGTGTTCTGGTGATTTATCCTTCATTACCGACCGTTTGCACATGTTTATTTACAGTGTCAGGATTACCTGGCCTTTGTTAGCTGCTGACAGATCTCTGAAGTCCAGGCTTCCAGGGGAAATGATAATAGGTACTCAGTCCCTACTGGCAGGCTCTCCACCTTCTGGCAAGCAAAGTTTCTTCCTGGATAAAGTTTGGCATACTCTTCACTCTCAAAGAGGTTTCTTTGCCTGATCATCAGGCAGCCCTGAAGTGGGATGCCTAGGCCCTACCAGGCTTTGGCTCTATCTGTAGAGTATTTTATGTCATCATTGAAAACTGATGGAGGGTGAACTAAGATGGTACCCAGTACTCAGAAAACAGAGGTTTGGCTTCATCTTGGGTCAGCCTCTAGAGGTGGGATATGCCCCACATTATGGATGAGGAAGCTGAAGCCCAGAATGACTGTCACTTGCTCAAGATCACCCAGCCAATAAATTGCAGAACCAGATTTGAGCCCAGATCTTTCAGCTTCAAAGCCTGTTATTTCTATGACCCCCCCCAATTTATTTTTTAATTTCCAAGATTAAACTCTTCCTTTCTCCATTGACACCTTCCTCCCATCCCCAGAAAAAGTTGCACACTGCTCAGACTATTTTTTAGCATGGGCTCACTTCAAACCCACTTAATTTTGCTTTGTCATAGCTGCTCGGTTCTCAGCTGGTGGACTGGGAAGTAGGTCATGGCTGCAGGGACCACAGGCTCTGGCTGCTGTGAGGGCCAGCCTCTGGTTTCAGGGCTGGACGGGGGCCAGACCTCACCGGGGGCATCACCCTCTGCTGGCCCTGCTTGGAGCTCTCATCCCTGGCCCTGAGAAGCCGTCACAAACCTTCACATCATCGCCTTAGATTCCAGAATTCACTGTCCCTGTGCTGTGTGAGGTGGTGTTTAGAGAAAGGAGCATCAGGGTTAGGGTTAGGGCAGAAATTAATCTTCCCTCTCTGTAGATCTGTGGGTGATTGGAGCTAGTTGATTGAAGGGGCTTGCCCACCATCATATGCCACTTTTCAGAAGAGAGGTACCAAGCCCCTTGACACCCAGTCATTTAACTGTCCCCTCCTTTATGTGACAAAATTATCTTCAGAAATAATCATGAAGTGAAGTAATCATAATGACCAGAAAAGAAACACAGATAATAAAACATTTCTTGAACTCTGTACATATAATAATTACACCAGGATTTCTTTCTCTTTTTTTTTGGCCACACCTCATGGCCTGTACGGTCATAGTTCCCCAACCAGGGATTAAACCTGGGACCTCAGCGGTGTCAGCACAGAGTCCTAAAGGTGGATTCTTAACCACTGAACCACCAGGGACTTCCCACCATGATTTTTTTAAAATAAAAGTGAATACTATAGTATAAAAAAATGGAGGGGAAAAAAGCACAAGTATTTATTAAAATTTTTTTTTCATCTAATGAGTTTTGATTCTTTGGTTGTAGCCTGATATAATGATATTTTATGTAAATTATCATTTGTTACTAATAGGTGAACTTTAATAAAAGCAAGACATCTGTAAAAGTTGCCTATACTTTAAAAACTATTAATACTAAGTCGTGCC